CCTAATTACACAAGTGATTTCATCAGAAATTATGCTTACTTCATTTAGGAATATGAAAACAGCTATTACGACGCTTCCCCAAGTCGAAAATTATGAGCTGTTTAAAAGTGTGTAAGTATCTTTAACCGGCAGAAGATAGTCAAAATAATCAAACAAGAAGAAACACAGAGGGTATCTTTCTGTGTCTTAGAGTGTGGAAGCTGGCATTTCATCAGTATTTAGAGGGGATTTATGTTGAGAACGCTCCTTCATGCTAATGTGCTTCCACCGGGTGTTCATACTTCCAGTTGCTCTCCGAGGGAAAAGGGCACAGGAGTGAAGTGAAGTATGGTTTGCAACTGTAACCATACTTACATAAAAGCTAATTGGAGCCTGCAAGGGTCACGGAGTGAAGTTATTATTACTTTAGAATTCTAGGTTAGCTAAGTGAAGAATTACACTGAACTTATTAACTTGTCATGTACTGAGACCCATTAAAGCCTTTAAATTTCTACTCTGGTTTTCATGCCAAAATGATCTTTAAAATAGTGAAGAAGAGATTATTTGCATCTGAAAGATGATCCATTCCCCTAGATTACCGGTCCAGTGTCAAATAATTCTTAAATTATAGCTTATAAACTGATTATTTGGCTAGGTAGCTACTATTTCAGAAGTTTAAAGAAACATACACACAAGCCAAGCATAGTAGGGGATGCCTGTAATCCCATCACTATGGTAGGCTGAGGCAGAAGGATCTCAATTCAAGACCAGCCTGGCCAACTTAGTGATTTAGCTATATTCTCTATCAAAATAAAAAGCAAAACTTGGGACTGGGGATGTAGCTCATTGAGAAAGTCCTATTCAGTTCCCAGTACTGCAAAACCCACACACATGTGCACACACACACACAATTATCAATTTTTGAATTCCAGTAACTTTGGAAAAATATTGATTATTGTTTCCAGATTCTTATGCCTTATCCCTTTTATCTTTAAGGTCACTTGGGAGCAGATATTTCCTCCATATTACTTTTTGCCATTATTGGCATTAATAATTTTCCTATAAGAAGTACACTATTTGGTACACTATTAATTTACTTGAAATAAAGCTTCACATGTCCAGATACCCTATTAATTTAAATTCGCTTGATTAAGATATTCCTGCCCTTAACTGGTCTGAATAATTGAATGGTTCCTAGAACAAAAACGATTTCCTGGAACTGAACTTGAATAAACAAATAATTTTTTCATATTAAATGAGATAAATCATGTGAAAGAAATGTATTTTGTACTTAATACATATTCATTCATTAAATGGAGAAATGGCATATGTTGGCATTGAAAACTGATTTATTATCTCCTCCCTGTCCACTTTCCCCTTTAATGTGTTATATTTTCACCTTATCACTTTGCAAGTTCTAGCTTTAGTTGAAAATGTATATCTCTAAGAGAAATTTGAGTTTACAAGCTTAGAGCTCTGTCCAAAGAGTGACATCAATTATGCATTAGGTCATGGTTCTTATCTGAGCATGTAATTGGATGCCACTCCCAATAGAGGAGTCGCCATATCTCGAGGCCAGGGCTGTGGCCCGAGTAGAGAGTGACATTCAGCTGCAGTGCAGATGTGGGCACATTTGCTCTTCAGTGATGGGTGTGTGAAGAGCTAGAGCAGAGACTTCCTTGGCTCCAGTGCCTTGCGATACTGGTATTGCTTAAAGGAATGCTTTCGGGACCCTTTGGAGACCTCTTTAGAACAGGGGCAACTGGAAAGGAAGAGTTTTCCCTCCTCCAAGGACCCCAAACAGTTGCATTCCCATGAGAGCAGGGATCTCCAGCTGTGCCCCTCCCCGAGGACCACACAGCTCCCTCCACTTGTAGACTGACACTGGCCGAGTCCGTGTGCAGGGAGAGGGGTCCTTGCGTGGCCGAGCCTGTAAGGATGGAGATGATGTAGATGGAGAAGGGCAGGACCTTAGTTGGACTGTTCAGCTGCTCCCTAAAAAGGAGAATTAGCGTGAAGTAGGAACGGGAGGATCAGGATCGTGTGACGTAGGTTGCTACCCCTACTCAAGAGGCACAGCAGGTATTTATTGAGGAAACTACTGAATGTCAGGAATTGTTCCCATTGTCAAGTGATAAAAATGAGCAAAATAGACCAAAACCTCTGCCCTGAACATGTCCACCAATTTCATTTCAGATAGTTGATACCTTGCTGAAAAACGCATGTTCAAATAGAATTATAATATTATATTATAATTATTATATTATAATTGCCAGTGCAAGGGCAACATTCTGTGGATTTAGCAGACAAGTTTTGGCCATGGGGATGGCTCAGAAGGACTGGCCGTGGCCTTGCCCCATGTGAGGCGCAGCCCTGTGTGTGCTTAGCATCCAGATGTGCTGCTTTCCTAGACGACGTAACTGAGCAGCTCACTCGCTGCAGGTTTTAATCCCTCAAGCAATGGGTAAGATACATTCCATGAAATGCCAGGGCCAATTTTAATAAGTCAGGTCAGGGTCCCAGCTTCAAAGCTGGCTGCTGGGCCGGGAGGAATGGGGTCCCGCTGTGGGGGATGCGCCTGCCGGGGACAGCTGGGGCACTGAGGGGAGCACAGGTGGTGGTGGCTCGGGCCACCTAGGGTCCCTCTGCACATTCTTCAGATGTGATTTCCCAGAGTTTGGAATATTTAGAATAGCAGTGTAGTTAAACCAGCCCTCCATTAAAGCAAGAAATAGTTCTTAAGTAACACTATATTATATTCTGAACAGCTATTGGTCAGGAAATACGAAAAGCTATTACACTGTGACAGAAAGTCATTGTAATGCAAGTTGTGTGGGTGATGTTTTAGTCTAAGATAGAGTAGACTCTTGATTTATGAACTCAATTTGTTCTCCAGGGCTGGTTGTAACTCAAGTTGGTTAATTGAAGGCTCAGGCTCCTCTACACAGCCTTCAGAGTCTCTCTCCAGTACCCAGGCAGATCTCAGTGTCCTTAGAGAGACACTGGCCCGGGGTTTCTCAGCCCCACACAGGACAGGATGTTGCTATGTTCCTTCCAGACTTTTTAAGGGTAAATCTCTATCTGAGACCATCTGCAAGCACAAGCCGCTGGCATTTGGGTTATAACTCAAGACTTTTGTCCTAAGTTAAAACAAAAATTCCGGTTGTAACCCAGGTTATTCGTTAGGCTGGTCGTAACTCGAGGGTCTACCCTATTCCAATATTGCTGACCTCCATGTGCTGCAGGCAGATTTCACGCCTGGAGCTCCTGATCCTCTCTGAGGACAATTTCCTAAGGTAGACCAGTTGGCCAGTGAAGACCTGTGTACAGGGAGCGTCCATGCCAGAATCCAGCTCTCCCAGGCAACCAGCCTTTGGACAGAAAAACAATCTTCTCTCCACCTTCAGCTAAAAGTGTGGTTCATTTGGAGTGCAAATGCCAGCATTTTAAAACATATTTATTAAGATGTAGTAGGCTAAATTTTTAGCTGCACGTTTCTCTAGTTTCTCTAGCTAAGCAACTGAGTAGTCATCCATGCCGATCGCATCTTGGTTTTATACGTCCAGGACCGTAAAGAGCATGTCTGTTGTGGAGGTTGTACAAGTGGGAGAAGGAAATGCTGAGAAGTTCAGAGCCCTATAGGAAAGATAAAACTGCGCTTAGTAATCACAATAAAGAAATATTACTAGAACTAGAATCCCTCTCTCTCTAGCTCTATCTCTTTCTATCTCAGGGACAGTGTCTGGCTAAGTCACCAAGTTGTCCAGGCTAAACTTGAAATTGTGATCCTCCTGCCTCAGCCTCCCTCAGGGCTAGGGTTACAGGTATGTGCCATGGTAGGCAGCTATGATCTCACACCAGTGCACATGGAGGAGATAAATGTATATGCCTGGAAACATTAGGAAAGGCACTATTGAGTGCTGCTCCTGATTCCCCACAGAAAGCCCATCGTTCAGGAGTCCAGGCCGGGCAGAGGGATAGCTGAGTCTCCTGGAGCAACACTGACCTGAAGCTGAGCTCAACCAGGGGCCGGGACATGGTCAGGGTCATCGTGCATCAGCCAGACTGGCTTATGTGGCAGTGGTGTCTGGAACGATGATGCATAGCTCTCCCATATTCCTTCTTGAGGAATTTCTTTTTCTTTTGTAAACCTAGTTTAAATCATTTTTATTAAGACTAGACTCCAGGCTGACATTGGATTTTCAAAGTTTCCTTCTTGATTTGAAAAAGAAAACTTTTTAGAAAAAGAGGTCAATTGAAGTATTTTTATATCCCAAGTAGAGTCATTTCTGCACTGATACCATTCTACGCTTCACTCGGTCTTTCATTTCAACTGGAAGAAGCAGAACAGAATATTCTCCTTTTGCTTTTTGAGCCACCATTTCTATCTTCTTTCTTTAAATTTCCAGCAATACTTTCGGTTTTATTTGCATGGTGCTACAAAGAAGTGGGTACCGATTTGTAGAATACAGTCTGACGTTTGCAAGAGGCTTTGGAGACCTCCCTTCCACCATGGTCTTAACACTCAAAGGGTGGCGTGTGGGATTGGGATCACTTGTTCAAGTTTATATGTGCACAGTGTGGCTGAGATAACCCCAGCCCCCAGACACCATGAAGTGCGCTGCTCCTGGTGTCTTACTGCGTCCATGTGCAACTCAAGGTACATATAGAATTCTGCACACAGATACATGTACATGAAGGGTTCATCGATTTGTGTTTATTTTTAGTTAGAACAGGATTTGAAGTGGACTGCTCTGATTCTGATGTTATCCGTGGTGCTGTCCATGAGCTCATCCTGTGAACACTAATACCTCTCCAAACATCCTCTTTAAAGCACTTCTAGTGCACACTGAGGCGACCAAGCAAGGGTCCCAAAGGCTGAGCAAAACCCCCTCCCAAGTTGAGTTCACGAGCCACTTCCATCTTGAGCATTCATAGCTAACCTGAAGTTCCTCAGACTATGATGCCTTCTCCCCCTGGTGAAGTGCTGTGAAAGTAACACTGGCTGTCTCTGCTTCCAGCGAGGACGTGTGGGTCCAATCTGCGTGGGCCCAGCGGCGTCATCACCTCCCCTAACTTCCCGGTTCAGTACGAGGACAACGCGCACTGCGTGTGGGTGATCACCACCAGCGATCCCGACAAGGTAAGGCCTGGCTCCCACCTCTGCGTGCTGCCTCCCTGCTGCAACACTCTGAGTCAACTCCTGAGCCACACAGCCTAGCAGATGGTTGTTTGTTCCGCTTGGATTCGGAGGGCCCAGCTGCCTTGCCTTTCCGCCCACATGCCCACACCCCTTGGAAAGCAGTTCAGTGTGTAGACATGGTGGCTATCCTCACTGTAGGATATCTTCCCGGGTCTGGAGAGGAAGTGCATGGCTGGCCTTCCTTCTGGTCTTGGACGCTTCTTCCTCCTGACCTCTTTGGCCCTCAGGCGCGTCCTCTCCATCAGCCCTAAGCCCCGCCTCTTCCGGCCTCCCTGCAAATGCGCTCCTTCAGCGCTGTCAGGAGCACCCGGTGTTTCTGCCTAAGTCACCTGCTTGTGTTTTCTGTCATGATCTATGTGCTTTCCTACAAGTAAACGACTCTCCGCCCCTTTCCAAACCCCTCATTTTAAACGCATTAAGTTGATTATATGTTCCCCTCTTGGTGAGAGACAGGGAAACCATGTTATTTCTCCATAAGTTTTGCACACATACTTTGTAATTATGTTATTGTATCTTAAATCACGGGCCAGAAAAACATAATCATAATTGTGTTTCTTGTGCTATAAAATGAATTGCCTTTAGTTCACTTGAAATCCAATATACATAGATGCCTACCACTGGAACAAGGGAAGTAGTAAGCAAAGGTGGAACACCTTTATATTGATTTTATTTTTTAAAAATTGGACAGGAAGTCATTCTTAGTATGAATTTCAAATGAGCTAAGGAAACTAAAGTGAGCAATATTGAAGGACATGTTTATAATAGTGTTAAATTTACCAGGCCCACACCCCTCACTGGGTTTTGAGATGTCGTGGTCGGACAGAACTGTGTCAGAAGTGCTTGCCTCTCCATTTCTGGGTTCTACTGAACATCTGCCACAGCTATGCAGATTTCTCCTGAACCTGCCAAGTGCCAGCCTCAAAGAAAAGTTCTGATTTCTGTCCAGTGAAGTTTTCACCAGATGCCTTTGGGTTTTGCTTACTCTCATGAATTCTAAAGTCTGAGCTGTTATTTATGTGAAAACGCCACCTTTAATAAACAGAAAGGGGCAAAAACCCAGGGAGCTGTGGGCTTTCCTCAGGAACGCGGAGGAACCCTAGGCTAGCATCTCCCTAATGAAGGCCTCAGGGTTCCTTACAGTCCTCTCGGCACCCTAGGTCTCCATATCCCACGTCACACTCCAGTTCTCAGTATCCCAGTCTCAGTATCCCAGGTCCTTCTAGTACCCCAGGGCCGGCTTTTCCTGGGGTACCAGCTCTCCTACTGCAAACTGCAGACTCTCCTGCTCCACTCAATCCCTTATTCACGTTTCACTCGGGGCCTCCTGGTTTCAGGGCCCTCTTCCCATCTCTTTGTACCCCAGCTTTCCTGTTCTGCAGCCCTGTGAATCTAAGCAAGTTAGCAAAGTTCCTGAGCCTCAGACTCCTCATGTGTTGTAGAGATAGTCAGAACATTTTCCTTTGAGGGTAGCTGGGAAAAACTAATCAGTATGTGTGCCTAGGTGAGGGCAATAGCATCATCTGACTTCAGAACTGAGAGTATTAACATGAATAGGCATAACATAAAAAATTGACAATTTGGTAACAATTTACCAACCATTGCATTTATTTGTCTACCAAAAAGAAGAGGATTGGAGAATGCAGCATTGTCCTGGAGGTTAGGTAGAGAAAGCTTTGAGAAGAAACACTGAAGCAGTTGGGCTCTTTGGGCGGGGGTAGTAGATGTTGAATTGAATTCACAGCAAATACGGTATATCCACTTCCACAGACGTCCAAATAAACAACAAGTGTTTATGCCGTGGGGTCAGAGATGTTGCGGAGCTCAGGGTGTCTCACTGGTGTCTGTAAGGTGCAGAATACGTTACTTTTGCAGTTAGAATAGATGAGGAGAATAAGTGAATGTCTATCCCAGGCATTTCTTACTCACAGCCTGTGAACCACATGCGGCCCTGGACAGCCAGTATCGTGCCCCCAAGGATGGTAACCTTCTAGCCCGTCTTGTGGCCTTTAGTACGTACAGTGTAGGGGACAAAGGAACACTGGGGGTGTAAGTGTGGTGCCAGCCCCGACCCCCCACATGGTCAAGTAAAAACCCATGTGTACCAGAGGCTGCATGTGTGTACAATTGGTGGCAGTGCACAGAATACTTCAGGCTCCCTGCCAGGGGTGTGCCTGGAAGATGAGTGTTCACTGCTATGAAGCAGGATGGGGGTTTTCTAATTTAATTATTAAACTTGGCTTGCTGTGATTTTCATGAAGTAATTTAATAATTCAGGTAGTTTTGTTACTTTTATACATGACTTATATTAAACATTTTATAAAGACCAAAGATTATTCCTCTTCATTCAGTGTGACCCAGACTAGCCAAAAGGTTGGACCTCGAGGCTAGATGTTCCATGAAAGTCCCATGTGTATGTTGCAAAGAAAGGAAGTGCAAGTGGAGATCCTAGGAAATGGGAAAGAGACCCAGGGGAGGCACAGTAGAGACCAGGCCCGTCTCTGGGGGCAGGGGAGAAGAGCCTGCATGATTCTTCACAGCTCTGGGGACCACCAGCTGCCCACAGGGAGCAGCTGCTCAGGGTAGGATTTCCCTCTGCCCCTCTCTCTCCCAACCCTGGACCCTGGGGTCATGACCCTGTGAGGGAGACTCCGATTTGGGGACCTGGGAAAGGGTGAGCAGGAACACTGGCGGGGAGGCCACTTCCCCCTGCCCTGCCGACCCTTCCAGTGGAGAAGAAGGGCGTGGCCATGGGTGCTGGGGAGGTGGAAGCCAGGTCTGGAATCTGACTCACTGGTGCGGGGCGGTGTCTGGTACGGAGTGAGCACACACGAGGATGTGGGGAGAAGCCGTCCTAGAGACATCTCCGCTGCGGACTTGGGGAACCAAACCAGCACCAGCTGAGGACTGGGCCTGAGGGGTGGAAGCAGGCAGGACTCTCCCCTGCCTGGTTCAGCATCATCCCCCCGGGGGCTCTGCCCTGCTGGCCTCTAGCAGCGGTGTGGGCAGCAGCAAAGACCAAAGACAGGCGAGAGTGAAGCTGACTGTGAGATTGCCCCCTCGCGCTCCTCCAGTCTCCCCAGGGGTCCTGTCGCCTTGCACTTTCACTGGCAGTTCCCCACTGGCTTCTCTAAGGGTCCCCTTGGAAGGGTGGCTGGGTGGATTACAGTATGCGCTCACTACCTTAAACCTGGGGAAGGACCTCAAGAAGCATTTTTAATGAGAAGTTATGAGTTTGGCTTTAGGTGTAATGATAGTGTACCCCGAACCATGTGTGCAAGTGGGTGTGACTCAGAAGTGAGTTGGAACCCACAAGTGTGAGGAGACGCAACTGCAGAAGTGAACTAGGAACTCACCAGTGCCTGTGGGTGTGGCTGCAGGAGTGGACTGGGAACTCAAGAGTGTTTTGTGAGCTGAGGAAGCAGGAATAAGAATGGGCCCTGCAGGGAAGCCAAGCAGAGTCAAAGCAAGCTATGCCAGTGGTATTATTTCCTTTCAAGGTCACATGGAGGTGGATGTGGCTTCAGCGCTAAGGAGAATGACCTTGCAGTAAGTGTCATTAGTTATAGAAGCTCTTGCTGTGAAGTGTAATATCCACGATGTTTCAGTGGAGAAGACAGGGCCTCCAAGTTAAATCTTCTGGAAATGTTGGCAACACCTTTCTAATACTTCCAAAATGCACTTAAATCCAGATTACATCTGCAGAAAGGCTTTCTGTAGTTCACTAAGCCATGCACGTGTATGGGGTCTTCTCCCTCTTTCCTGTATAAACCAGACTTGCTGAAAGTGCTCATCCAAAGGAAGCCTGGAGATCAGATTGTTCACCCCTCACCAGGCAGAGAGGAAACCCAGTTCCAGCAGGGGTGAACTCCAGTGTCCTCTTGCTCCTGTTGACTTTCTGGCTTCCTGTAGGAATGTTTTAGAGCCAAACACTTTGGGGGAACATTGGCCGTGTAACACAGGGCAGGGGCCGGAGGCTCCAGTTCCACTCTGCAGCTCAGCAGTGCCCTTGAAGATGTTTCTGGCGCTCATGTTCCCTCTGGCCTCGGGTCCTCTCAGGGATGGTGTCCGTCCTCATGAGGCAGGACTGCTGCACTCTGAAGGTTTTAGTTGCAGGAAAAATCAGGGTCAGTGGAGACAGGAGGCATGGTGTACCTAGACATGCAGGAGACAGGTTTCAGGATTTGCCTAGCCAACTTCTGTCAGGTCCCCTTGAGTTCAAGTCCGTGGTTCCCTCCTCAGGGTAGCTTGAAAAGAAACTCTCTGGAAGCCAGAGGGAAGGGTTTGTTGTCTGTGGGCTTCCCAATGTATCCACTCACAGACAAGCAGAATACCAGGAGAACAGCTTTCGGTGGGCACCAGATTCAGCTTCTGTTCATGCCCATTTCAGAGCCCTAGTCAGCCTCTTACCAGACCCCAGAGGCTAACAGCAGTGAATACTAAGGATTTGAGTTCTTTGGCTTCTGAAATTTTTAAACTTGTCCAAACTGTAAAATGGCAAACAAGGGACTTGGGTGGTTTGGGTTTATCTGCTTTCCCATTCTTGTTTTGGAGGATTTGCTTTTCTCTGCTGTCTTTGTGGTACTTTTACATAGAGTATGTATAAAGATGGTTGACTCTAAAACACTGCATAATTAACCATTAAATTTCAGGAATCTCTTTTTATATTGCTTCAGAAAAGTCTTTGCCCTAAATTTATTCTGTAGAAATGTTCAGAGAGGTGCAGACTATTCCAGGTTGATGCACTCACACACCAACACTCTTGGAAAACCACTTAGACACCTGAAGGCATTTCAATTAAGCAGAATTGCCATCCAAATTAAGCACCAGTCATTGCCATTAAGTATAATTAGCTTAATTTGATTCCTTGGGAGACATCCCAAATAAGCAGGTTCTGTGATGCAACATAGGGCATGGAGGTGGCTTAGGACCCTAGCGGAGAG